CACACCCACACCCTCACACCCACACCCACACCCACACCCCAACCTTGTTATTCAGTTGAAAATGATTGTTGTAGATTCGTTTTACTGAATATAAAAGTAAGTTTTCTCATATTCGATGACAAGAAAAAGTATTCTATTAGCATCAGAAGTATTGACTATTTGACAAGAATAAAAAAACTGTGAAACAATGCTAATCGAGCTATTTTATTCTTATTAAGATATTAATTCATGTATCAATTAGTCAAATTTTCTTTAAAGAAATAGTCGTTTTCAAAATATATCTTTGTATTGATCGGAAGAATTGAAATGAAATGGTAACAACTAGTCTCATCCTTAGCTATCGGCTCGATACGTTTCTTACGTTTCAATATTTATAAAGACCAATCAGAAACTTCCATATTATCTGATGTTTTGGCATTTCAATAACTTCCTTATGGTTTTTAGCCACCATAGTTTCCATTTATGAGTCGTGAACTGTTCATAAATTTTGGTTAAATTATTCAGCATTGTTTGATTATTAGAACTTTAAAAATGATGAAGATTTATTAAAATCTATTCAAATTTTCAATTTATTCACTGTTTTTCGAGTAATCCATAATTATAGAAAATCAGTCAAGTGCGAGAAATACTTCATGCTTATGATTTGATATTCATAGAACAAATAATTATGCTCAGAATATGTTGCAAAATCAAATTACGACTCAAACAGACATTAGAGAAAAACTAACAAAGAGCACAACGAATAGAAGAAACTGCAAAAAAAAAAATGTTTTTTGTTTCGTTCTATTCTTATTTCAATTTCTTCGACACTCGAAGTGCATATCAATATCATGTACTCGACGAGAACAAAAATGTGAGTGTGCAAATTCTTGACACTTACACTCATAGCAACATCCACCTGTACCCACATTTAACTAATAGATATCAGAATGAATAGGCCAACTGAAAAGGCGTCTATACAAAGTTTTTATTTTCAAAATAAGTAGTGTACAACAACGATAAAAGTTTGTTTACATACTATAGAATTTATTAACAATGTCCATGATGACCTCCACCAAAGCCATCGTGATGATGATGATGATTTATTCCAAATTCATGATGCATATGATGATGATGGTGACCACCAAAATCAAATCCGGGACTCATATGATGATGATAGTGTGGGCCAATGTGATGAGGATAGTGATGTGTTGCAAAATGTGGATGATGATGATGATAATGAGAATAGCCACTACCCATATTTGCTTGGAAAATTAGTTTTATATGATAGCTTTATCTCGTAATTGATTTAAACTAGAATTGTAGGATACATATATATATATATATATAATCGTAAAGCAGAAGAAAAGACGTCATACGTCATCCTACTCTAAAAGAAAAGGAAAATATTACTCATCATTTTGCAGAAAGAAAAAGTATAATAGCACAAAATGGTTGCTATAGAAAGCATAGAAGAATTGACTCATAATTCAAGTAAGAAACAGAATGACGACAATAGTTTGACGTATAACGATACATTTTTAGTGTGTTTTGCTTTTATCCAAGATTCATAAATGTAACTTTCTGTGTGACTGTTATAAACAAACTTGATACAACACTTAAGAAAATTATATTTTATTCTTTTTATAAAATAAATTACGACATAGATGTGTTTGGTGTAAGTCTGATTAATCTTAAAAGTACATATGTTTTACAACAGACTTATTATATGAAAGAAAACGAATCATCAAAGATATTTATTTCTGACGTCATGTGATCAACAAAATGTGTATGAAAGAGTTTTTTAATGGACAGAAAAAACTTTATTTGTATATTTTGGATGTGGATCGGCTTGGGCTTTCAATAAAGTGAATTTCACACTGTGCCACAAGTCTACACCCACACCCCAACTGATACTATCACAATATTCAATAAATGAATAATTGAAAAACTAAACAATGCATGTCGTTTGGTTCCCAAGTGGTACAAAGAGATTTCTTTAATCAAATGTAGTCCATCAACTGATTCAATATATTGTTTTTTTCGTTGAGTTTTTGGTCGTACTCCTAGTGATAGTCAATAAAAAGATGCTTGGAGTTCAATTGGTATCAGAACATGGAATAAAATAAAAAGTTTTTGATTTTAACTTGTACAACAATTAATTATTTAACTTTACTACCGAGTTCTGTGTTATTTTAAACAGTCAAGAAGCCGAAAAAATGAGAAAATATATGTTCATAATTCAAGCACTATCCATGTATCCTCATTACAACATTATACAACTTTTAAGAAACCTAAAAACTATGTTGATTACATGCCAGATACAAACATGCGGAATGAACAGCAAAAAAAATTTCAGAAAAGAAATCTAATGAAGAAATGATCAAAACATTGATCGATTATAGCCAGTTTTTAGCTTATCAAAATTGATCTTTCTGTGAGCATGGTGATTTAAACACTTTTTTCGAAGCTCAGAATCTACTAGCAGTGGTCTTTTGTTTATCTTTTGATAGCGTATGATCCATCTGCATGTAGTCTTGAACATATTTTCACTGTTTTTTTTTGCCAATATGTGCACCAGGTGTTTATTTGAACATGGTTAGAACTAATGTGGATATGAGGATCTTCTTTTTATCACCTGTCAAGGTTTGAATGCAGGTTAAATGACGTTGGTTTAACTCTTTCCACAATCCATATCCACATTCAAATAACATATATGAAAACATTTTGAGTAGAATGGAATTGAGAAACCTTAATCTAACAATGTGAATCGCACGAATGGAAGGTATTTTCATACTCGATCTTGTTCTTCGATAAACGATGTTGTCGTAATCATATACCAAAGGTTTGCGTAAACATATATCATACTGAACATGAAAACTAACAATAAAGCAAGTTTTTTAAACTCAAAGACGAATTTTTTATTGAAATAGTGTTTATTCGCTTTGCGCAAACTATTTATCTTAACGACATTTAAAACCATTAATTGATATACAGAAGTTGAATATTTAGATTGACGTAATAAGAAAAAAAAAGAAATCTTCCTCTTTTATGAGATGTATGTCGGCATGTCTCAGAACTATAGAGAAATTCAAAAACGAAACAAGTTATCATTTAGCGACTCATCGCTGGGAATGTACTATCAAAGAATAAGTTTATAGAATTTTTGAACTTGCATCCATTAAAACAGTTTACAATGGGCTGTTCAATGATAGACATAGACGGAATTGCTTCTATTTATGTTCACGAAACTAAAGCATTTATTTCATTTAGTAAACAAAAGCAAGTTACAATATAGATTATTTTTGTTAATTCCAATAACATATAATATTCTTATGATTTATACCGAAGAATTGACTTATGTGATCCTTCTAGTATGCGACTGAACAGGAAAAGGGCGAACACGTACGTTTCGTCTACAGAACCATTTCATATATAGCTCAGGCATGCCAATCAGACAGGCAAACGGATGTAATGTACTTATGAAATAGAATAAATAGAAAAAATACAACTGTTGGATAGATATAGTAATGTGCTTGTTGGACCATCTATTAGATAATAGCATTGAACGAATCCATACGGTAGGTAACCACACAAGTACAGGATGGATATGGGAATGAATTGTAGGAGCATTTTACGATGTTGTTACCATTCTAATGATTGTCGCATTTGATAATATTTTTGCCAAAGAACGCGAATTCATAGTCCTACATTCAAAATGAAAATGAGAATGGATGGAATGATCGAATGAACCAATTGATCATAAATACCGAGCACGGGAATATCGGTGGCAAAGCATAAGCCAGCACAGACGATTTGCTTATAGTCGAAATGATTTTCACATGGATGGATAAATGCAATGTATATATAAAACATAAGAAGATATCCGAAAGTGAAAATAAGCGGACCATAATGGAAACAGAAACGCTTTATAGGTGTATTAAGTAATTGTCGATGATGAAAAATAAAAATATGTCGCTCAATTGTTGTCCAAAGCATCAATATAGAAACAAGTGCATAGAGAAACAAGTCAATGAAATTCCAAATGCAACAATACACATCAATGCTGGGAATGACAACACCAGTACGTAAGAAGTCGGGAACCATGGAGAGATCAGTCAAGATAGCCATTAAACCAGCAAAAAGTAAGAAAAGTGGAGCATGATTGTGAAGTGCTCGCAGCGTGCCACGATTTGACACAGTATGATAAATTAGGCGGAAATAACAAGTGACCGAAGGTATTTGAATGGATAATAGAACAGCAAACTTAATCCGACGACTTTCTATTGTTTCCATTGAGTGACAATAATATTATGTTTCTAGCAAAGGACTAGCTTTCAAATTGAGATATTTTGAGATGTCTATCAGCTCTTTGAATATGGAAATCTAAAAGTGAATCAATCAGTGGCAAAACTAATACTTCAAGCAGAAGAATGGCGTGCGAATCAACAATGCTGACTCCTAAGTACCTGTCTTTTCTATAGATAATAGGGTCGCAAGAGGTATATTTATCTTAGATCCTTTGAATATATTTTTTTCGTATTTTCAACTCGGATATCATCGTTAGCAGAAATGACTCATGAAGTGGCAAATATGCGTTCTGCTATGGTTACAGTGCTCTAAAAAGATTTATTTTTCTGAAAACTAAAGCATAAATGTTATCATAGCTGTCTGTTATATAGTTCCTTATGTAAAAACATTAAATATACTGAGAAAATTCTTTCTATTACAGTTAAAGTACTCCGACAAGATATATGGGTAAAGGGCACGCCCATTGTACCGTTTGGGAAAAAAAATAGAAAAAAATAAACTTGAGGATAAAGAGAAAATAAATATTGTATTTGATAGAGCGATGTCGAATATGTATAAAAATAATATTTTCCCAACACTTCCATATACTGTGGTGGAGATTCACAATATTACAGGCAATTTTCATAGGCTCCAACAGTCTTAGTGTATAACTTACTTTGACTAAAGTCACTCGACATTTTGCTAGTCAAACTATTTGACGAGTCAAAAATTTTTTCCTAGTGTTTCGCTTGATACTCAATCAAGTTTGTTTAAATGAAACTTGTGTAAAAAAGAAATCTCAATGACTTTAATGTCGCTCTACATTTTTTACCACAAAAATCTCACTCTACAGTTTGTTAGTAAAACCGAATTTTCTCTCGAACAGAGAAATATTTTGCTTGATTTTTAGAGAAATTACTCTACGCTATAAGATGAAAAAAGCATCAAATTATTATCACAAACCATTTAGTTTTCATTGAGTTATAGAAATGATATAATTGAAAATATCGCTCTACTTTTAGCGTGAATACAATTGTTTTTAACTTGCCATAAAATTTTCATGTTAACGAAGTTTATCAGAAAAACTTTTTTTTTATGTCAACGTATTTTCCCCCTAGTTCTCTTTGATATCCAATCAAATTTATTTAAATGAAATTTCTTCAACCTGTATACCAACGCTCTACAAAAAAAATCAAAGTATCTTAATGTACATTGTTGATAGCTTTTCATTCATAGAACTTTGTCTAAAACAAAAAGTAATAACATATTCTGAAAGCATTCCACGAGCTCTAAATTTCTAGCTAAAAAATAATTTAAAAAGAATTGGAATGGGATAAAGAAAAACTGATCTTCTTTCAGTACGTGGCGTTAGAAGCTAGCAATTTTACACTGTCGATATGATATCTCATAAACTAAAAGAGATGAAAAACTGATTCTTTCAGAAGTGGGTGTGAGTGTGGGTGTGGGTGTGTGCGTGGGGTGTGGGTGTGGGGTGTGGGTGTGGGGTGTGGGTATGGGTGTGGGTGTGAGTGGGTGTGGGTGTGGGTGGGTGTGGAGTGTGTGTGTGGATGGCTGTGGGGTGTGGGTCTGGGTGTGGGTGTGGCTGCGGATGTGGATGTGGGGTGTGTGGTGTGGGTGTGGGCATGCTGGTCGTTCTTCGCATCATACTCACACCTACACCCACATCCTTACCCACACCCACATACCCACGCCCACATCCACACCACCCACATCCACACCCCCATCCACCCACATCCACACCCACACTCACCCACACCCACCCACACCCACACCCCACCACCCCCACACACACTCCACCACACCCACACACCCACATCTATACCAGCCGCATCCACACCCACACCCACGCCCACACCCACACCCACACCCACACCCCACACCCACACCCACACCCACCCACACCCACACCCACACCCACACCCTCTAATTTGATAATCAACCGACTTGGT